TCACTTGGTTTTCTTTATTTGCATCTCTATAATGGATGGTTATCTTGAATATAGTTAAGAATATCCTATGTCAAGCCAGTGAATATAATTGCTGCATGTCTTATAAATTAGATAATTCATGCTAGCTAGCCAAATAGGCATGTGATCGAGCCGGCTTAATGCAATGCCTGATAGTGGCACCTAGATACGGATCATCCCATGCCGAGTAACTTAGATGTACCATTTTGAGTTTAGAAATATTCCCAATGAACACAGAAACTATATATTTATTTTAAAAAATTTGGTTTGTGTTCGGGTATTTATATATAATTGATATTTTTGAAAATTTTCATTCCACACAATTATCTGATTACTCTATCAAATCAAAGCCTAATGCAGTTCCTTGATTTCCATTTCAGCAAGCGCCATAGGCTGGGTCTTCTCTTCCTACTACCTAATGAGGTTATAAAATTAAAAATGAAAAAACAAAACAACAGAAAAACAAATACAATTACAAAAAAAAAAAAAAGTGCTATATGCTGTTTGTACTTTCAGTGTCTCATTCTTAAATTGTTGCATGGTTGAATGCAGTGGAGTTTCTTTTCCTTCTAGCAAAGTTACCGCGAATCTATGGGTATATTTGCATGTTGCAAGGGGCAAGACTTACATCTAAGAAATTTTCCTGTAATCAGCCTGCATCCATCGAACGAGAGAGAATATTTTGAAACCAGCTGCGCGCACACATGCTTGCTGCCTGGAGAGCGAGGCGTGTACCCAGTAAAAGACACGAACACAATTAGTGAAAATCTTTAAATTAAAACCCCAACGAATACTTGCCAGCTATACACTATTGGCTCACTCTTTCAACCCACGTGGAGACCTCCTCACACTTGCGAACGTTTCTGCCTATAAAACCCTAACCCCTGCGAGCGCACTTGCTATTCTCACCACACTACTCAAGCTTTTTCCTTTATAGCAAAATCAAATGGCTGACAAGGCCTTGGCTATGATTGCTCTCCTCCTCTCAGTGAACCTCCTCTTTTCCTTAGTCTCCTCCACTTCATGCCCCCCACCACCTCTCAAGCCTAAGCCTTCACCCAGCCCATCCCCTCCCTCTGGTTCTTGCCCCCGTGATGCACTCAAACTCGGCGTGTGCGCAAATGTTCTGAATTTGATCAAGGCTAAGGTCGGCCACCCGCCAAAGGAGCCTTGCTGTAAGCTCCTCGAGGGCTTGGTTGATCTCGAGGCTGCTCTGTGCCTTTGCACTGCCATTAAAGCCAATATATTGGGCATTAACCTCAACGTCCCTGTTGACCTCAGCTTGCTTCTCAACTACTGTGGGAAGACTGCCCCGACTGGATTTAAGTGCGCTTAGATTCTCCTGTTGATCGAACTCCTCTTCGAAGTTTTTATTAATTGCTCGAGTGTGGGTCCTTCATGTCTTAATTTGGTTCTTTTGTTTCGGGTGGGATTAAGTTTGTCAAGTTTGTTTGTTGATTTAAGTTTGGTTTGCTTCTGGGGGGCCGGGAAGCGGCTGTGGTCTCTTTTATTATTATGTTATTTGTAAACTCATGACTCATGAGTGATTATTGTTAAACATTTGAATAAGAATTCATGTTTTGTTATCTTGAGGATATTTGCGAGTTATGGTATGATGAGATTGTTAGGATACACACCAACAAGAACGTCTCAAACGGAGACGCAAAAACACACCCAAGCAGACAAATTCAATCACAATACTCACAGATATAATGTCAACCCGATCATCCCCTGCTGATGCTGGAACAGAAACTCTGCAGTCCCGTGCAAAGTGACCCTTCTTTCCGCATCTGAAGTACTTCCCTTCACCATAACCATTCAGGTTTGGCCCTTTAGACTACCCTCTGGATTTTGATTGGCTTCGTTGTCCCCTACCCTTCTTCTGCGCACGCCCTCGTGCCTCAATATGCAGAGCACTCCCACTGCTAGAGGCCTCAGCTCCTGAGACTTTGCGGTGAGATTCTTCATCCAGAATTGCCTCAATCACTGTGTCGAGCTTTATTTTGTTATTGCCATTGGTGTTGCTCACTACCATTACCATATTCTCCTATGAATCTGGTAGACAAGAAAGTAGCAGAAGAGCTTGGATCTCATTGTCGAATTTGAGATCTACTGCAGCAAGCTGTTGCACCACAGTTTGAAATTCGTTCAAGAAGTCCGCCACGTGAGCTCCTTGTTGCATCTTTAGATTGAACAGCTTCTTCATCAGGTACACCTTATTTGAAGCAGACGACTTATCATACAGCGCCTCTAAGGCCTCCATCAACTCCTTGGTGGTGATCACATACGAGACGTTGTAAGTCACATACTGGTAAATGTTGAGTCTGATGGTGGCAAGTGCTTTATGATCGAGTACATTCCACTTATCGTCATCCATTTTCTTAGGTTTTCTCGCCTCTCCTTGGAGGGGTAAGAAGAGATGCTTCTGGTATAAATAGTCTTCTATTTGCATCCTCCAATACTTAAAATTTTAGTTGTCGAATTTCTTAATTCGAAGCCTGTTGTCTTCAACTGTAGATCCCATGAAGAAAGATTACGTCTTTCCCGAACCGTATTTGTGAATAGTAATAGTACTTGTAAATAGTACCATACTGGCAAATAGTATCGTATTTCTGAATAGTACCCAATGTCTTAAAAGAGTACATAACAATCTAACTTATATTCTGATATGGAGGATCCACTTTTAGTGGCAGCCACAGAGCATACGATAATCAAATATATATACTCTAAGTCAGACTGTGATACCAGTTGTTATGATACACACCAACAAGAACACCTCAAACGGAGATGCAAAAACACACCCAAAAAGACACAAATTCAATTACAATACTCACATATATAACGTGGTTCACTCTTACAAAGCTACTCCACGATGCAACGACGACGCCTAATTTTTTTATACTCCAAAAGAAAAGGATCAAAGAGAACACCCTCTCTTGATCAAGATACTCTCTGAGATTTCTCACAAACTCTCTCTATGTTTTATCTCTTACTCTTATATAAGAGGGGTTGTTTCTGGGATGAATTTTTTCCTTAAGAGTTTTGGGTCTATTTTTAGTATTTGGGAAACCACTATGTGTTATGGGGTGTTCCCTGTTCCCCACAAATATGCTATCCTGAGAGCAGGTTCGGTCGAGTCAACTTCATTCCAGGACGACTCGAAGGGCGAACTCAGTCGAGCAAAAGATGATTACCCAATCGATCAACCGACACATTTTCCAAGGGCGACTCGGAATATTATTTCTCAGTATTATTTTAACAGTTTATGATCATCATTCCAACTCCACGTCACCCGTCGACAAGCCTCGATGGCTGCTGATTTCCCATACCACAGAAGTGACTCCACGTCACTCGTCGACAAGCCTCGACGGCTGCTGATTCCCCATACCATAGAAGTGACTCCACGTCACTCACCAATCGACACGTATTGAGCAGATGGTGACTCAGCCTCCAGCTCACCCCTCGCCATCATCATAAACTACTTTCTTACTAGATGCCGATTCGGCCCTTGGTATCCTATACAAATATATATGCTATTCGTCATGAAAAGAGGTTGGATTCTCCTTACTACTTAAAAACTACACCTTTTATTTTGGGGAGGACACACTGTTCTTCCTTCACCTCACCCAAGTTCGATAGTTGACTTGACCGTCGGAGGTACCACGGGGGAAATAAGCCCCGTACTCCCACGATTCTTGTATGTGCAGGTGGTCCGTCCGCCCCGAGCTCTAAGAACCAGACATAAAGTCGAAGAAGGAAAGCGGTCCCCTCTCTACTGTTTTCGGAGAAAGTTGCCTTCGTTGTTGAATTTATTATAATTTGGATTGCTTACAAAGAATTCAAAATATTCAATAAAAAGAATAACGAAAATGAAAGATTACAACTTTTCGAAAATAACGCAAGATCCGTTCGTCGTTTCTTGCTTGCGTGGGTCTTTAGCCGGTGACGGGGACGTCGATATCCGTGGACTACCTAGCAATCGGATCAGGTCCAGAACTCCGTTGATTCGCGAAGGAATCTAGAAGCAGAAGCGCTTATCTCGACAACAGCGAGATACTTGCTCTTCTTAGAATTACCACAACGGGATAATACTAAGGATTGGATGCGGGTGATGTAGATTTGACGACTCTCGATCACTTGCGTTGAAGAACTCGATCACTCTTCAGTCCGGCAGGGCTTCGCCAATTCTCTAAAACTCCAGATCTGAAAAAATGAGGACCCGGGGCTGTATTTATAGGCTCCAGGGGGTTTCGGGTGGTTAAAACCACCTAACTGACAATTTCTACGTTGGAGACACCCCAGGGTGTCTCAACCTGGGCCGAGACACCCTAGGGTGTCTCGGCCTTGGCCGAGACACCGTAGGTGTCTCAGTTCAGCCCGAGACATTTTCGATGCTTGTCTGATCGTTTCCGCCGTAACTTCTTCGTCCGAACTCGGATTTGAGCGATTCGAAGTGCGTTGGAAAGCCGACGAAGAGTTCTATAAGCTTCAATGATTAGATCATCTGTAGAATAAATGAGACATGACGGGTATTTCACCGTTTGTGAACGACACGAGGTGCCAGATTAGTCCGTTCCCTTGTTATTCCGAAATTCTGTTAGTCCACGTAGTTCGTCGGTTTACTTCAAGCGTTCACCGATATCAATCAAGCTTCTATGAAACAGATGGTGATATTCATCGTCATTTCTTAACACTGAGCTGTTCGTGGAGACCTATAGGCAATTTTCGATGCCTACAGATACCCCCTACAAAGCTTTCCAGACTCGTTTCTTTTGTAGAAGAGGCTGGAATACTTTGGATGTGATTGGTCTAGCCTTCAGTCGGCGTAAAGGACCTGTAGTTAGCTTCGATTCTTGACTCCTTTGATTTTCAGTCTACTCGACGCTTTGATGAATAGCTGAAATCCTTCCGGCGCTACGTTTATCATCTGGCCGTCGTCGAAGTCTCAAACCTACAACTGATGAGTTGAGTTTGGCTCGTGTTATTGAGTTAACTTTTTGATCACAACGCGTTGACTGACGTTGACCTAGGGTTACACGTTGACCGGCGTTGACCCTAGGGTTGCGAACGTCGTACGTTGACTTTTTGATCGCAACGCGTTGACTGGCGTTGACCTAGGGTTACACGTTGACCGACGTTGACCTTAGGGTTTTAAACCATCGTACGTTGACTTTTGAGTGTAACGCGTTGACTGGCGTTGACCTAGGGTTACGCGTTGACCGGCGTTGACCCTAGGGTTTCGAACGTCGTACGTTGACTTTTTGATCGCAACGCATTGACTGGCGTTGACCTAGGGTTACGCGTTGACCGGCGTTGACCTTAGGGTTTTGAACCATCGTACGTTGACTTTTGAGCGCAATGCGTTGACTGGCGTTGACCTAGGGTTACGCGTTGACCTGCGTTGACCCTAGGGTTTCGAACATCGTACGTTAACTTTTTGATCGTAACGCGTTGACTGGCGTTGACCTAGGGTTCCGCGTTGACCGGCGTTGACCCTAGGGTTGCGAACGTTGTACGTTGACTTTTTGATCGCAACGTGTTGACTGGCGTTGACCTAGGGTTACGCGTTGACCAACGTTGACCTTAGGGTTTTGAACCGTCGCACGTTGACTTTTGAGCGTAACGCGTTGACTGGAGTTGACCTAGGGTTACGCGTTGACCGTCGTTGACATAGGGTTACGCGTTGACCGGCGTTGACCCTAGGGTTTCGAACCGTCGTACGTTGACTTTTGATCGCAACGCGTTGACCTAGGGTTACGCGTTGACCGGCATTGACCCTAGGGTTTCGAACCGTCGTATGTTGATTAATGTTGATTTTGTCGAAACATCCACCAATCGACGAAAACAGACGAATACGGGCTTGAAAAGGGGATCCAGGGGCTCGAACTGGGCTGAGACACCCGAGGGTGTCTCGGTTCAAGAGCCGAGACCCTCCCCCTTTGTTTTCTCTCTTTTCCTTTTTTGTTTTGTTTTGTTTCCCTTCTTGTTTTGATTTTGTTTCCTCTTTTGTTTTCCCCCTCTTTCCAAATTCAAAAGAGTCCTATTCCCTCTCAAACTCTCTCTCTTCTTCCACCTCTTATCCATCCACCATTGTTTCCCTCTAAGAACTCCAAACCCATTAAAATTCTTCTCTTTAAAACCCCTTAAACTCCATACAAAAAATTCGGATTTTGGTGCTCCCTCCTTGGCTGAAATTCTTTTCTCCTCAAAGCTAGGGTTTTTTTTTTTCATCCTCAAGCTCAAGGGAGGCCTCTTGATTTGAACTTCTCCTTCAAAAACTCTCATTTTTTGATAAAGATTGAAACTTTATGCTTGTAATGAGGGTATGCCATGAATTTGTATGCAACGATCATAGCTTTTTGTTCTCATGAGTTAGAAGATAGGCTCTTTGATGATGGGTTGTGTATGCACAAAGTTTTTGGGGGGTCTTATGCAAAAAATGTAATATGGCCGAAATTAAGGGGCTTTTGTGCAAAAGTGGACTGAAATTTGAGGGTTTTTATGCAAAGTGGGCTGACATATAGGACTGAAATTTTACCCCCATTTGGCCGAATTTGAAAGGTGCTTTTATGCAAAAGAATCGACATTGTTTG